TTCATTGGACAAGACAGAACTATATATACTGTGGATGGAGTCATGGAGTGGACGATTCAAAATGGAAGAAAAATGTCTAAGCGATCCACGTGCCAAATTAATTATGAAGGAGACATAAACGAAGAAGCAGAAAACAAAAACAAAAAAAAAAAAAATCAAGCCGGAAATTAATTATTTAGTCTCAGGTGACTGTAACTGTACGTGTAATCTTTGTAAGAATTATTAGCCGTTCATATGTTGTCCTGTATGTTTGCTTAATGCGTTTATTTTTATTGATTTGATTTGTAGATATAAAGTTGTTTTTGTGGGGAGGAATTTTGGGGAACAAAATATAACAATGCCTTGATTTGGAATTTGGAAATATTGCAATGCTTAATTAGCATCGTCCATTTTTCCATTTCAGGTAAGATCATCTACACATTTTCCGTCTTCTAGAAGAAACCATTTTCCTCCCCTCTTTGGTGAGGTTGATAAACCCCAAAAATAGCTACTTAATTAATCGCTAAAAGGAGTTGAACACGAAATGAATTAATTGGCAGTTATTTTGGCGGCACCGATTTTGGTAGAGTGAATCAACTTCATTTAGGGTTTAGGCCTTTAGGGTTTAAATCACAAGTACTATATATATATGATGGCAGGACCAAATTGTTTAGGGCGAACTATTTAATTCTAAGTTTATTTTCTTGTACACGGGTAACTGTATTGTTTTTTATATTAAAAATTTGTGTCCATTACGTTTGGAATTCATATTAATAATGGTTGATAACTGATAATATTAAGATCATCGATTATATCGTTCGTGATTCAGATCCACTAATATTAAGATGTAATCACCCCACTCAAACTAATTCTCCATGGAGATTCTTTTCTATTCCAAACCCAGTCAAAGATAGAGGGTTAGTGATATTGATAATTGGTTACTTTGCAAAGCATTATTTTAATCAGGTTTTGAAGCTTAGGTTCATCGAATTAATTAAAGATGCTGAGGTGTAATCCACAAATAGGAACATCTATTATCTTATATGGTCCACTAATTTGAAAACTTGGGGCATCAACAAGGCTCTTGAATAATAGGAACATTTATTAAAAAAAAAAAAAGCTAAGCAAAATTTTGTTTGTTTTTTTTATACCTTCTACTCAGTGATGTAACCTACAGAAGTCCCCCACCACACCAATAATAATAAACAAAAATTTCTTTCAAACAATTATTAATATTTTTAATACATTCCAAGAGGCAAATGGGTGGTCGACATTTCATTAATGCAGGCGTTGAGGATTCCCTTTCAAAGTGATGTATAGGGTACTAAATTCTGATTAATTAATTATAACCTTTACTTAATTTGTCCCACCATGTTAATTAATCCACTAGAAGTTTATGTTTGAGGTGACTTCTTCAATTGGTCCATGATACATGCAAGGACTCAATTGGGTTGAAGAAAGTAATGACCAAATCGATCGAGATACAATCCCAAGTTGGCAATATGACTCTTGATGATGTTAAACTTTTTTACCATGCTAAACTTTCCAATAGATGGTGTCTAGAAAGATGAAAACCAAATCCATATTTTTCTAATCGCTCAATTATTTGAATCACAATAACAAAAACAGAGATATATTGTGTATTTTTATAACTAGTGAAATTTGAATTTCTGATTTTTGTATGGACAAACAACAGGCTTCCATCTCCAATAAGAAACTAAGGTGCGACAAAGCTTCCATTTCTTAGTTTGATTTGTGTCTCAAAAGCAAGTAAACTAATAATGAGTGAGTAGAAGATGATCATAGCTAGTGGCTTTGTGCAGACCTACACTTGGAAAGGGCAAATGGGAACAAAGTTATAAAGTGGGGGGAATCAAATTGTTTCGTTGATCATCAAGGATGAAGGTCGTTCAAATGACCTGTTTAACTTGCAATTATTACCCTAAGAGGGGCCCAAATTAAATTGTAGTATGACTTTATTGTTGCAAATTGTCGTTCTTTTGCATCCCAAGTTGCTAATTTAATTAATTAATGTCATTAATTTTGAGATTAATTAAGTGGTACACGTGAATTCATGTGAAGAGGGGTCCTCCATGTTTTTTTCCCCTACAAATTTAAGCCCTTGAATGTTTGGTCAAGAATGGTTTAGGAATCATTGTAACGAAGAACCCTCTCCACTGGTTTAATGCGAAACCCTAGTGCTTATATATATGTGAATGGGAGTACTTGGCCATGGTTCAATTGACTTTAGATGTTTCAATGGAATATCCCTAGAAGATTTTGAATCATTTTTCTCATGTTTTGTGTGCAGTCAATTTTCCATTAGTTTTTTTTTTCGAATTAGTCTATTTTGTTTTAGTGATGCTTATACAATATGAAATATTCAATACTTAAAAACTATTAAACTTTCTTTTAGTCGTAAGAAAAATTATGTATATTAAACAGTTTTGGTCTAATAAAATAAAACCAACATATGTATGGGAATGGATGAAAGGAACAACTCCAAATTAAAAGAAAAAAAAAAGAGAAAGAAAGGAAGAAGGATAGAAGAGAAAATAGTTAGCTCAATTTAACTATTTGAAACAAGAAGTTGGTAAGATGTCACCATAAGTGTATGACTTAGCATTGGTGTCATTTCATGTCTCGATTGTCGAATAATATGGCCAAAATAAGTAAAGTGAGTGATGATAAAGATTCAAACTAGGGCATGTTTACTTATTGTAGAATGCAATATTGTCCGAAAAATTAAAGAATCCAAGCTCATATATATTTATATTCTGTCCTTTGGGGTTCGGGAGGGTTCGATCGAACCAATTACTTGATCATTTTGTCAAGTATCTCTTTGATTTTCCTTTCTTTAATCTCTTCTTATTAAATGGCCTCCACCCACAACCTCTAAAACCCTGTACCTGGAGTTGATGAAAATATGAGAATATTTTTTAGTCCGATCTAATTCAAGTGATGTGTTTTGTGAAATTACTAGCACCTTTGTATCTTTTGTGTATGGTTGTTTAGCTTAATCTCATCTCATCATCCTAATGTCATAGATTATGATGTAGTGAACGCCTTTACAACTAATTTTTGCCAAGGTAAGGAGCTAAAAAACTTTCATTTGCTATTGACCGACAAAATTTAATGAAAACTTTCATCCAATATAGGCTTAGCAAAATAGTCAAAATCATGAGTAGTTAAATTACAATTTCTACTAATCAAAATGCAAAGACAGACTACTAATCTAAACAAGGCTACTATATCAACAACGTTAACTCGGGTGGAAAGTAGGGTGAGGTGGTTATAGCGGATTAAGATAGGATATAGTTATTACAATAAGATCGAGGATTTGATTTTCACTTGAATCATCCAATAAAAAAAATATATCATTGAGCCCCGGCTTGCCCTCAACAGAATAGTCGCTTCTTTCATTGCAGCTAGAAGAGCAATGGATGAATATAAAATTAGACTAGTTTCCAGAACTTAATAAATAGGATTTAGTTATTTTTCTTGTTCATTCTTGTAGTATTCCGGTTAATTTGAACTTTGAATGTTGTATTAAAGTGAAACAGAAGATATCGTATAATTTGATTAGTCTTTCATAGGGGTGGGTGAGAGAGTCAATTGAACATACATAACATTAGAGAATATCTTAGCTAATCCATATTCGAGATGGGTAAATTTTTTTAGATACAAATCTCTCCCAGCAAAAAATATTTTTTATCCTATCAATATAGTAAAGCCATAATAACGGAGGCCGAGGCATTATAGCTTGATAGTGTTTCTTGGGATAAAGGCTGAGGGCGTTGGATTAGACAGTTTTTGGGGAAAATTCATTTGAATTGCATGAATGAAGATGAAGTGAGAATCAGAGAAGCATGCTCCCCGGTAACAAGGGTTGCTTTGTCTGCTTGAGACCAAGTGGGGTAAATGGACTAATGAAAGTACAGAATTTCATATCACAACAATGATTGACATGATAGTATGCAGATCATTCTTTCAATATTTTTCCCACAATTTCTTGAGATATTTTTTCCATTTTTGGGAATTACTTGAACGCAACGTTAGGAAAATTTATATTACTGTACTTGTATATGTCAATAAAATTATGTCATTTTATTCATGAAGATATTACATACATACTTCAATTAATATATAAACATAACTCTAATTACATAATGCGATCACAAGCTTTCTTCTTCTCTACCTCAAATGTTAACACTTTGCATCTGTGTTTAGAATTGACATCTTTACAATCTATGTTCCATCGTCCACAAATTCTTTTTTCTCGTGATTCATGCAACATGAAACTTTGCTTGAGCGCATATTAAACCCTAATGAGGGATAATCCATAATGATATAAAATGATATGCGTTTATGTTTTGTTCCTACATTTAGTTTACATGGCCAAACCTTCATATATGCAATACATGTTCACCTTCAATTAGCTGCATGTGCACTTGCTTAAACATATATAGTTTATTTCGATACCGATCCAACAGGAAAAATGCCCGAACTTCAAGTCTCTAGATCTTCAACATACTAAAAAATCAACTCTTGCAGACATAATAATCATAACTACGTTCACTAATTCATTAAAAAATAGTACTTCCTCTTTTCCAAATGATTGTCCTATTTAAGACAAATTCTAACAGCCAAAAGGCTGAGTAACTCTCCAAGAATATTGAAGGTTTGGTGCTCACGTCTCTTGATGATAATAATGGTACAACTAAGAAGAAGAGACTAACACAGCCCTCCATTTCCCTCTTCCATTGAGAACACATTAAATAGTTCAATACAATATTTGTTACTGTGTATTTTATACTAAGGAAATTCCACAAGATGCATGAATCTAGCTATTCCACCAACCAATAAATATTTTTTCCTTTGCAGAACATTGGAAACCTTATCCATGTGATCATCTATTAATTTATAACTCATTCTCATTGGATGTAACAAAATCAAAGCACTAGGAAAACGAAGATCATGCTATCTTGTATGGATTATCCTCAAAAAAAAATATTCACTAATAGAAGAAATGTAACCATATTTTATTGATTTGGAAACTTAAATGAAAGAAAAGGAAAAGGCTTATTATAATTTACATAGAAATTGTAAGCTAGTCCTGATCATTTCACTTCACTCTATACATAAAAAGTCATCCCAAATTCTAGTGAACATACAAAAAACAACATACATTAAGCATAGGATTCAAAACCAAAACCATTTCCAAAGTCAATTACCTTCTCTATAGCTCTCTTAGAACTCAATATTGCGCCCTGGATTGTGCCCAACCATATGAATCTTGACCTATTGGCCCTCCATTTGACAACAAATTTGGTGTCAAATTGTAGTTTGGCATGGATGATGGATGCTCAGCCATTCCGGTCTGATTCTGTTGTCCACTTCCGTTACTTGTCCCGACTCCGGGAGGTGAATTTCCGGCAAGATGTGGCTGAGCTGCCGTAACGCTGCCACCGGCTTCCTCATCATCCTCAATTGGCAATCTCTCATAAGTTGCATTAGCAAAAGTGGCAGCAATGACCAAAACAGGTCCTGCTGCCACAAGCGAACCTACCACACTTCCCCCTACCACTTGACCCTGTCCGCCAGCTAAGTACACCGTTAGTCCGGTGGACCCTGGCGGAGCTGGACCTGGCAGGAACGCCCCCGATAACGATAAAATCTCGAAGCGACCGTGAAGCGCCACGACCGCTCCCGGCGCTGCGGGCTGCCTGAGTGTCACATTAGCTACCGAGCCACTCCCGCTCAGCACGCAGACTCCGCGCTGGCGCTTCCGGGCGAACTGGGCTATACTTTCTGCCACGTCTCGGCCGCTGGCGACTTCCATCACGTGACTACGCAGCGCATTAGGACTATCCCTAGTTACAAAGATTGGGGGTTTTGGTTTGTTCTTGGATCCCGGAGGCCGGCCTCTAGGTCTTCTGGTTCCGATTTCGACGGCTCCTTCTCTTGGCTCGCTGTTATTATCCCTTTCTTCATCTTCATCGCCTTTACTACTTCCTCCGCTGTTTTCATTCAGTGCTAAATCAGGACGAAACCGTTTATTGTTGTTTGTAGTTGACATAGGTGAAGATAGTGCCGGCTGGATATCGACGTTCACACCGCCGGCGGGCAAGCCCACCTGTCCTCCCCACCACCGGTGGTTAGCCAGCTTTGCAGATTTTTTTTTTTTTATCAAATTCAGCTACAAAGGAAAGAAACAAACAACTCCTCAAAGAAAGCTAGCTACTTTCAGGCTATGATTATCCCTTTTGGTTTTTCTTCAATTCTTTGAGATTTTCGTCACTCATTTGGCGCACATTAGATGAATTGGATGGAAAAATAAAAGTAAAGGGCCGGTGCTGATGATGAGGTAAAGATGAGGAGAATTAGATGCAGAAAATGGTTTATGGAATCAAGTAAAGGAAGAACTGAGAATTAAAGAACATATGACCTAAAAAAAATTCCCAAAGAAGGATTTAGTGGAAGGAAAAAAGAACATATGCAAGTATTAGCAAAGGGAAGAGGAAAGGAGAAAAGAATAAAGAGTCCTCAAGAGAGATAAGAAAAAACAGACACTAATTTACCCCTATGTTTATGATAATGAAATTAGTACATTAAAGTGCTCCAAGAGAGCAATGATGTGTATATATCACTATATCTATGTATTACTAAGATACATATGTTTCGAAGAGTGCCTTTCTTTTCCTTCCCATTTCTTATTTATAGTGAGGTGCTTTGATCAAAATCTGTCCCTCTTGCTGTCCAAGCTCTCAAAAGTCTCCCATTCACTAAGTTGGCACTGTACTTATCTTGGTGCCTATAGCTAAACATAGGATTTTCTGCCACATTTTTGTATAATTATTTATATATAATCCGTTTTTGAAATATAGCTATCAAAAATTCAAGTGACATATATACAAAAAAAAAAATGTTATACAAAACTTACTATGTTCTAAAATACTATGTAGATAGATAGAAATGTATTATTAAATTTTTTTTTATCTCGGTAAACTTAGACATTTGATCCTCTGTGTGTTTAGTATATTTAAATCATATTTTATCAAATTATGTAACGTATTCAAATTTCATAACTTGATAATCGTAAATCTACAACTTCTATCAAATTAAGAATCGTGTTTGTTAAACTAAAAATTGTTTATCGATCTAATGTAGCCCTAGGCGTAACCCCTCGTGGGGGTAGCGTGCGTGAAATTGGGGCTGGGTGGGGAGCACGTCGCTGTCTGATGCCCCGACATATGAAACGAAGGCCAAAAAGATAGAGATGAGCCAAAAGACTAAAGTGAAAGGAAGACAAGGGGTTATGTTGTCCTCTACTGCGCCTATTCCCTTTACTAGCAACACATGAAGACATTTTTTCTTGCATATGTAATTTCTGCCTTCTTTCCCATTTACTTTTCCTCTTCATCTTCCTCTTTTTATATTAATTTTCAAAATAAAAGGATCAGCATTTAGATAAATTTGGTGAAATGAAACATCCATGTGTATCCATGAAAGTTTGCTTAATATAGATTGATCGAAGGATTAAGATGTGAGGCATACATGGAGAAGCGAATTTCACGATAAATTATAACAGATTGATTTTTTTTTTTTTGAATAAAATGTTCGATGTTTTTTGAGTTCTGATCTAGTGGGGGTAACATATATCTTTGATAAACGTAGTTTTGTCAGTTAGCTTTTTGCCTTTGAGTAAATTAGCATTTTGAGTTCTTACATAACCATTTTTTTTCTCTTTCACAATTGGTAATTTGGTACAATAGTATGAAATATTTTGTCTCTATAAAAAAGTGAAAACATGAACTATTTTTTTATGAGACGGAGAATAATGTAACTTTTTTGTGCCGTTTTGTCGACATAAACAAACACTAAGTAATTATGTATAGACTTATATGTTTTCTGTCCAGAAAAATATAATCTACGTTGCAATTTATTATTTATATAAATATAAAGGCTTTGTTTGTTAGATTTTTTTTATGGTATTTTCAAAATATTTAAATAATAATTGTCCCATCCCAGCATAACTTTTTACATTTTCAATACACTTTTTTATATTGTTAATATAAAAAACACATAAAAATACACATTAAAAAAAACGAAACAAACATACCCTAAATTATTGTATAATGTGAATTTTTTTTAGACAGAAAGACTCGCATGCGACTCCCAAAGTGCAAGCCCTGAATTTTTACAAAAACTCGGTACCCCAAAAATACTTCACATATATTGTTTAAATCAAAATGTTTTCTACACGTTCTAATCTTTTGGGAAATTGATTAAGCTGGCATCGTGTTCTGTCTGCTTCTTCCTTTACTTCTTTAATTATGTACGCTTTCAATTTAAAAATAAAATATTGATTTAATTCGTACAAGTACTTTTCAATTTGAAATGAAAGAAATATGTCGATTGTATTTGTTAATATTCGAAAATACTCATACTTTTACAACAGAATAGAGCTCATTGGAAAAAAAAGAAAAAAATTTACTGTTAAAGAAAAATCTTGTGCATATGCAATTTTTTTTCTCGCCCTCTGCTATTGGACTTCTGACATCATTGGTAAGAAATCAAAATTTCAAACTCATAATTAAGCATCGAATGTACTCCCTCCGGTCCTTAATATGAGGCATTTTGATTTGTCCTAAGTTTCATTTAATGTGAACTTTTAAACGACAAAAAATCTTAAAATATATTTTCAAATTCGTTTTATTCTCTTAATTATTATGAAATGTTTTTTAAATTTTTTTGTCAATTAAAAATACGTATTAAATGAAACATGAAATAAATCAAAATACCTTTTATTAAGGATTGGAGGAAGTAATTAAAACAGCGTATTAAGTGAAACATGAAACAAATCAAAATGCCTTTTATTAAGGACCGGAGGGAGTAATTAGAACAGCGAAGGAAACGACTTGATTCTTAATCACATGGACGAACAAGGATGAATGTATGAACCCAGGATAACATAAAATGTGCAAAATCATCTTTCAAAAGTCAACAAAATTTTCTCTTGAACTTATTACAACTCTTCACATCAAAATCATCGAAATCTCCAATATATATCCCACCGTCTGATGTGATAAAAGGGGTAAGAATTAATCGACATGATCCAATGGAAAAACGACATAGTCTAAACCATTAAGAAAGTTGGCCGTATGTGGAAAAGATACGCCAACAAAACTTAAATTAATAAGAACTACTACAAAATTGATTATTTTAATCGCTACCCTGGTCAGACTAGAAAATGAAATTTCAACCAAACTTCAAATCTATTAAATTATACTCATATATGATCAAATCTGTTATTAAAAGTCACCAATCATTGATTGTTCATGATTTTATGCAAACTCCATGTATGGGATTCTGTCCCATGGATAAAACAATGGTATAAAGAGAGATTGAAAATCTTAAATTACTAACTGTCAAAGGTTAAACTTTTGTTTATTTATTTATTTATTTATTCATAAAAATCCATCTTTTAATCTAGTATAATAGTCAGCTAAAAAAGGAAGCCAATTTGTACGACTCCAACAAGCATGCGGAGTTAGGTGATGATCAAGCAATTCCCAAAAGAAAATACTAAAAATTTGCAATTTCAACTGAATGACTAGGTTTTGAGAGTAACAAGTAAGTTTAAAATGATGAAAGCCCCAAAGGGCTTCTTATTTAGGAGAGTTAGTGAAATTATTTCGAATATCTGTATTACGTGAGTTAAAATTCGTTTTTTTTTTTATCTCTTAATATTACTATTGCATTTTTAAGATGTAAGAAGATGGTCAATGAGATCCTCAATTTTGATGATGATTGGTGACCCAATGCTGGCATAAGCCTCGATATAATTTATATTTATTTCTAAGATTAGGTCTTGAACAGTGTTCTAATGTGAGAATTTGTACTATTGTAATTATGCAAGTTGAATCCTGAATTTGAGCTTCTCCTTGTCGTCTTCCTTAATTTCAGGAACTTATGTTTAAAGTAGCAGCCGAACAACATTTGGTTAGTCAAGATGTTTACCAGGTAATTAAGAAGAAAAGAAATTTATTTAACCTAATTATTAATTATTGAAGAGGTCTGCATCAATGGAGCAAATTGAGCATCCATCGGTTAATTAACAAAGTACTTCAGGTAATCGGGTCTTTAAAAAGTGTCAAACTTTATTAAAAATAAATAAAAAATTACGAATTTTGTAAGAACAAGTATTGAATATGCGACTGCCGTCTTAAGTAAAAGAATATACCAGGTAGCAGAAAAACTAATAAGAGGTGAATTCAACAATCTAAGGGTTTCTGTCTCTTTCTTTCTGCTCTCGGCGCATGATACGCCTCACGGCTAAAGTGCGCCTACCATGGCGAAGGGGAAAGCAAGGGCCAGGAAAGGCATCAAAGGTATAGAAATTGAATGCGGAGAAGGGAATCAAACGACGAAACAGAAGGATATGGGGGAACAAGCTATGGGGAAAGTAGATCTAAAAGAAAAGCCTAGGTCAACGGGCAAGCAACCGACGAATACCCAGGGGGAATTAGATGAGATCCGGGTCAGAGATCAACACACTCGAGGCTGCAGTGAATTATTGGAGGCAAACATGGCCAGGAAACTAGAATGGTCATCGAATTCAGAGGAGGAGGTGAAAAAGCCACAGAACGCGTGAGAGACATTCGATGTGACAAAACTGAGGAAGGCGGCGGTACCATTGGATTTCATCCCACCGGAGATACAAGGGGGGACTAAAGTTGCGATTGTTGAGAAGCCCGACATCGCCCAAGAAGCGGAATACTGGAAATCGTCGATCATAAGTTTCGTTTTGGGGGCCAACCCACCTTTCAAGGTTATGGATAGCTTTTACCGAAGAATCTGGAAGAATTTGAGAATTGATAAGGTAGTGATGCTACCAAATGGGCTCTTTGTAATTCGATTTCATCATATGAAGGGTGCTGAGGAGGCACTGACAGAACCAATCCACTACCTGGGCTCGAATCCGGTGATAATCAAACGATGGAGTGTGGAAAAAGGGGCTAACCACAAGGAAATTACACATGTTCCAGTCTGGATCCAACTACACGGCTTGGAACTCAAGTACTGGAACCCATCCACCCTTAGCAAAATTGCAAGTACACTGGGAAGGCCAATTCCAGCGGATGATACGACAGTAGCCAAGGATAGGGCCACATTTGCGAGAGTACTAGTTGATGTCGAAATACAAGAATCCCCACCGGTGGTTGCACATTTTGCTGATGAAGAAGGCAGAATAGTGGAACAGCCAGTCTATTATGAATGGCGACCCACTTAATGCAAGCATTGTTTGAACTTTGGGCATGGGGAAGAACACTGTAGAAAGAAAATGGATAGACAAGCAGTCCAGAAAACAGATGAGACCAAGGGAGAAAAGAATAATACAGAGAGCTTTGAATGGAGGAGGGTTGGTAAGAAGAAGATAACTAAGGAAGTACCGGTGGAAGAAGTCAATGCTCTAGCAACATCACAGGAGGCCACAATGGGTAGGCAATACCAGAAGGAACCAGATGGAAAGAAGCCTGAAAAAACTAATGGGTTTGATGTTCTGTCACAGCTAGATGGAGATGAATGGAACAAGGAAAAACCGGAGACAAGCACGAACCAGGAATTGAGGGCGAAGGAGCATGGTGATAGCGGAATCCCACTTGACCCAGGTATCCATGTCTAATTTTCTCCATTGGAACATAAGAGGGCTTAACAGCCCTATAAAACAAAAAGAGTTATTTCAAATATGTAGTTTGCATAAAATTATATTGCTGAATATAGTAGAAACGAAGATGAAAGTAAGTAGAATAGAAGATATGATGAGAACATATTAGCATGGATATAAATTTGTAGCAAACGATGAGTTCAATGAAAAGGTGAGGATTTGTGTAATATGGGACTCTAGTCTCCTTAATGTAACAGTAGTTAAGAAGCATGCACAATTTATTCACTGCTGGGTAGAGGTAATTAGAAGTAGCATGGGTTTCTTTTGCACCATGGTGTATGGATCCAATCATAGTAGGGAAAGGGATGATATGTGGGAGGAATTAATAGGATTGGCTCCTAGAACTAATAAAGCATGGCTGGCCATGGGGGACTACAACAACATATTGAGGATAGAAGACAGACTTGGCGGGAACCCGGTAAATCTGGCAGATGTACAGGGTATGAGAAGATGTCTAGAGGAATGCAGTATGTAGGACATGAAGCAACAAGGATGTAAATTCACCTGGTCGAATCAGCAAATTGGCGATGCAAGAATATGGTCGAGAATCGACCGAATATTCATTTATGGGGACTGGATCATGCAGTTTCCCAACTCAATAGCTACGGTGATGGGGGAAGGAATCTCTGATCACAACCCAATTATGGTCCAGCTGGATGATACAAGACGAGTCCAACCTCATCCGTTCAAGTTTTTCAACATGTGGCTCCAAGATGAGGAATTTCGGGCAGTGGTACAAGAAAGTTGGCAAACTCCAATCAGAGGAACCAAGATGTTTCAACTTGCTCATAAGGTGAAAAAGCTAAAAGGCCCCCTGAAAGTTCTTAACAGAGTCAAATTCAGCAATATTCAAATGCAAGCTCAGCGGGTGGCAGACGAGCTTCACTAGATCCAGGAGCAGATACAATCCAATCCAGCAGATGAGCAACTGCATCAGAAGGAAAGGAGTACAAGGAGGAAATATGTAAAAATGCAGAAGGCAGCTGAGAGTTTCCTATGTCAGAAAGCAAAAGAAACCTGGGTGAAACTTGGAGACTCCAACAGTGCATACTTTCATGCTAGACTGAAGATTCGAAGCATGCAAAATCAAATTTGCTCCATCATGGAAGGAGGAGAACTGGTGACTGAATGGGACAGGGTCCGGAAACACTTTGTGGAATTTTTCCAACGCCAACTAGGGCAATGTAGCAATCGGGAAGCATCACAAGAACATGTATATCGCAAAGGATCGACCCTCAGCTGGCAACATCAAATGGACCTGCTGCAGCCAATATCAGAGAATGAAGTTAAAACAGCCATGTGGAAGATTGATAGTTCCAAGAGCCCAGGACCACATGGCTATGGAAGTGGGTTTTACAAAGGAGCATGGTTGATAGTAAAAAAAGAGGTAACTGAAGCTGTGCTAGAGTTTTTTGAAACAGGGAAGATATTGAAGCAGCTCAACTCAACAGTTTTGGCTCTAGTACCGAAAAATGATAATCCACGGGATGCATCAGAGTACAGACCAATTGCTTGTTGCAATATGGTGTATAAGTGCATCTCCAAAATACTGTGCGAAAGACTGAAAGAGGTGCTACCATGGTTAGTGGACACAAACCAAAGTGCCTTCGTCAGTCAACGGCTTATCCTCCACAGTGTGCTCATAACCCAGGAGCTCATTTGACTATATGGAAGGAAGAACATCAGTGGACGGTGCCTAATGAAGATTGACCTAAGGAAAGCATACGACTCGATAGAATGGGACTTCATCGAAGAAATGCTGCATGGATATGGATTCCCTAAATCATTTTCAGACAAGGTGATGGAATGTGTAACAACCACAACCTTTACGGTGAATCTCAATGGAGAGCTCTGTGGGTTCTTTGAAGGAAGGAGAGGATTACGTCAAGGAGACCCCTTATCGCCACTGCTGTTCGTATTAGCAATGGAATACTTGACAAGATTATTGAGGGAAGCTGCGGAAGATGACAGATTTCAGTTCCACTCATTCTGTAAACACATGAAACTGACCAATATATGTTTCACCGATGATTTGATGATTTTCTGCAAGTTAGATCCTTTCATAGTTCAGAAGTTGGTAAAAGTCCTAAGGAAGTTTTCTGCAACCACGGGGCTAGTGGCTAACTCACAAAAATCAGACATCTATTTTGGGGGCGTAGCAGAAGAGATGAAAAAGCAGCTGTGCAAAATGACTGGGTTTAGGGAAGGAAAATTCCCAATGAAATACTTGGGGGTTCCACTTTTCCCAAAAAAATGGAACCAAATGGATTGTGAAATCCTGGTACAGAAGATGTCAGCAAAGATACGATGCTGGAGCACTAGAGATCTGAGTTATGCTGGCAGGCTGCAGCTTGTAAACTCAGTGCTGACGGTGATGAAGAATTATTGGGCTTCAGCTTTTATACTCCCTCAAAGTATCACTCAACAGATCAACAGGATTTGTAGAACCTTCTTGTGGGGGATCAAGGAAAACAGACAAAGCATGGCACTGGTGAGCTGGGATCAAGTCTGCAAATCCAAGAAGGGGGGTGGACTAAATGTAAAAAAATGCACAAATCTGGAATGATGCTGCACTGGTGAAGCAGATTTGGGACTTGGCTTGTAGGAAAGAAAACTTGTGGATAAAATGAATCCATGAGGTGTATATAAAGAGGAAGGATTTTTGGGAATTACAACCTGCTCAAGATGCCAGCTGGCATTGGAAGAGAATCCTGAAACTGAAGGACAGGGTCAAAGCAGAATTTGTGGAGAACAAATGGAAGCACACAAGCACTGGAAAATACACCATCAGTTCGGTTACAAATGGATGATGGGGGAAAGTGTAGATTTCTCAGCTGCAACATTCATATGGTCAAGGTATAATGTGCCTAAACACTCATTCATTTTGTGACTTTTTTGGAAAAACAGGCTTTTGGCAAAAGCCAGATTGGAGAGATTGAATATTCACATTGATGATAATAGATGTGTATTCTGTCAAAAAGTTCAGGAGACATCTGAGCACCTGTTTTTTGAGTGTTGGTTTACCAAGGAAATTCTGGTAGAACTAGCACAATGGTTAAGAGTATATAATGTATCATGTAGACAGGATGTTTGGAGAGGTATAGTGATGAATGTATGGCGGCGCACAAAACTGAGACGAAACATTTGGTTTGCAGTAATGGCAGCAAGTATCTACCATATATGGGAGGAAAGGAATGGGAGAGTGTTTTCTGACAAAAAGCAAACAGTGGAGCAAATAGTGCAGCTAGTAAAGCAGGAGGTATTCTAACGAACAGAGCAGTGCTTGATGAGAAGAAAGACACCCAATGAGATATTCATTTTGGAGCAGGTTTTTGGTAGGATGTAGATAATGTATATAGTTGGAACTTTTGCAGCACGGTAAATGTAATAGGGAAGTTTGGGTGTAAATATGAACCTTGAAGCTAATCATCAGCAATATATTTACATTTTACTAAAAAAAAAAGCAGAAAAACTAATAATGATATTGATGTAAATATTACATATAGGAGTTATTGGTGGAGTTAGTATATAAAACCTACATATAACTTGTCGAAGGATTTGATTTTTTTGTTTTTTCAAAAAAAAAAGGCTACAAATTCTATTGAATTGGGTTCGGCGGTAACGGTGGATTATTATTGTCTTTAAGGTAGCTAGGTATTCAAATATCAAAGGAGCAATTCCTTGTTGTAGATTTCGGAAATGTAAACTAAATCGAAAATGTTGTGTGACTCATGTAGCATGAATGCGAAGATACAAACATCTAAGATTGCATTTCACTTTTGTTATGAAAAAAGAACTGTGCATTTTATATTTCCACTTATCACTTTTATCTCACTATCTTCATTGTAATTGTTCATATATTTACTTACGCCAGAATTTATAATAAGAAAATATTTGATATTTTTATTCAGTCTCGCCGTTTCAGAAAAAAAAAAAATGTTTATATAACAAACAAGATTCTAACGCTCAGCAATTTCACATCTTCATTTCTAGTTTACATTTCAAACAAAGAAAAAAACATTCAAACACGTTACTCATTCTCACATGTGACCATGCAAGATTTGATACAAAACAAGAGAGCTAGATTGAATTCAAAACCCATATTAAAAGCAGCATCAAAACATCGCAATCTCCACCTAATAATATTTTGTCAAACAGTGGCCCGCCTAGCTGACCACACAACCATCCAATCTTTGGGGTCATTTACAATGTCATTTTCAGTGATCAATGAAACCAAATAATAATATTGATAGTGTCCTGTCCTCTTCCTGAGGGAAAGCCTTTGTCTTTGGAGGACTCAATGATCACACGTTTTGCACGTGAGCAGAAACCGGAGGTTTAAAGTTGTACTGCTAGGACTTTCCCTCGTGGGATGGACGAAATTGTACTGACCACCAAAATTTGAACTTCAAATATGACATTTCCTCGTTTGGGAGGGATTTTGGATGATAAGTGAGCTGAAGAAAGAAGAGCTGGAGTTGTGCTCTTTGATTCATACAGTGAAAAGTTGCTCATGAATAATGGTGTTTTTATACTTGAAGGATAAAAATGTAGATTTTGAAACATAATGTGAAAATACGAGAAAATATACTTTTAAAAATCAAAGGCCTCATTCTGGTATTGATTAGATCGAATTTAGAAAATATTCTGTCTAATCAATATTAGAATGAGGAGGTTAGGGATCGAAGTATACTCTCAACTTATACACTAATACACCAGTATTGCGAAATATGATTTACAGTAATCTTGAATCACATGTCTAGACAATGGAAATATTCAAGTCTTCAACTTTTAACAAGTTGGCGGGCAGATAAGACTTCAAAGTACAGTAAATCTTCTTTAACGACATAAGCTAATCCAATTGTTTGAAAAAACAAGCAAGATTATGCTTATTGTTTCAATAACGTTAAAAACAAGCAAGTACAGTAAATCCAATTGTTTCAAAGTCCAGCATTTCTTACATTAGGCTTCATTTTTCCATGTTTGAATTTTGACTATCGATCTGTTGACATTGAATGAACTTGTAACTTGTAAGTTACATCTATCTGTACTAGTAAGAATTGAAAAATTATCATCCACTTGCTAAAACTCAAGAAAATGTTTCAAATATAGATAGAGGACTACACGACCAAATCAAACAACCCATAATGCTTTGTACTTTATACTAACCACATAGAGAGGTATAACATTGGTTATCAACAAAGACGAAAGAGTAACCAAAGTAACAAGAATCTCCCCTTCTTTAGAGATCCTTCACTGTTTACACAATCTTCAACACTCCAAAACTTTCCTGTGTAAATACAATTGAAGAATGCTTCTAGCTCAAGCATTAGATGAGATCAATGCACAAGGGTTTTTTCAGGCGTTGGCATTTCACATTCCACAACACCAATCGAATGTGAGAAAATGACTCTTTGGCAATGAGAGATGAGGTTCTAGCCTTGTTTTGGGCTCTGCTTCTTCGATCTGTGAATTGGGCGGTGCAATCCTACCTTAACCGTAAAGGAACTGGAAGAGAAACCTGCAGACAAATGCTAATTAGTTCAAGAAGTACCAATCTCCACTTTCCTCACTATCCTATTCCCCTGTCCTACCTATATTAGAACCCTCCAAACTGGTATAAGAGCTTCAGTCAAAATGGTAATTATTAGATCCAAGAACATTAATTTATCCATTTCTCTCATAATCAAACGTCCCCCTCTTTCTAGTGCATTGCTTCTTGCTTTATTTCCCAAGCATTCTAGAGATCTCAAACTTTCAGCTCCAAGTTGGAGCAGAAATTGCACTATACAGCAAAGTCATAACAAAACCACAATAAATACTACTACAAGTTGGCATTTTATCCCAGAATAAGATAATTCAGTATTTAACAACATCTATGTCCTCGTAACTTTGAGAAACTCACCCTAAGCTCTAAAATCAGACTCATCAAATACAGTGATATGTTGTCTAAGGATCTTCATTCTACATCAGAATCTACACACCCATAAATTAACAGAAAAACTTATGGAAGAGATACTTGCCTGATGAAGTAGCAGATAGCCAGAAATGAAATCACAAAACAAACTACGAGTTTGCACATCCTTCGATGTGCTTTCTTCTCAAACACCTAAAACAGAACATACTGTAATATTAGTTTGCCAAGGTTGAGATAAATCTATGCAATATACGACATGAGAAAAATAAAGAGATCTAGTAATTTACCGCTTTAAATCGACCCATGGTCCCTGCCATGATTCCTCTAGTAGAATCCATACCATTCCCCTAATTCAAGAACAAAAACATTAAAAACTAATGTACTCCATAACTCAAAACTTTGGAAGATAAGCTTAGTTTCACCAAGCAATTTCTTACTATTTGGCTCAGTATTCGGTTATGACTTTCCACCTCTTCATGTATATCGCCAGTCAGCTGTCAAACGTTTAACTTCAATATCAGAATGTGGTTGAATCACCACAACTTGCATGTAATCCACACATCAAAAAGCGCAGCACAAGGGAAAATGAGAAACTGCTAAATACATTTTCACCACCTTTCTACTCATAAATACATCAAAAGAAATTGCTGTGATTAAATAGACATTCATTTCGGTCCAACAAGAAAAATCCTAGCACATAGAGGCGAATATCACATCCATAAAGCAAATGAATGAATCCAAATGATCTCAGTGCATATCAAAAGACTTCAACAGAGCGCAGGTGAGAAAAGGAAAAAAGCCTCATCCAATGATCAAAGATTCAAAGCACAAGTTTGGATGCTTAACGAATAGACTGTACCAACAAAGATATCCAGGGAACAGTAGAAGTTTCACTTGCCAAAAGTAAACAAAAATGACATAAGGAAGCTGATCACTTATAGCCCTAGTCCCTAAAGAACTAAACACGCAATGACAGTTCTAAGTAGGTAGAAAGCACACACAAACCCAAACAAAAAATTTCAGAGAAGTAAGCTTTTAATGATCTACCATACTCTTTTCAAATAGCTGACTCGATCGTGTAAGCTGTCAATAGCTTTATCATTGTCGCGTTCATCGATATCACGAGAGGAGGTCCTGAGACCACCTTCTTCAATATCATCAAAGAGTGAAGCCCTGGAGGATCTCTGATCCCTGCATGAATGAATAATGATTTGTCAACTATAGTTATTGAAACTAACTAATTCCCTGAAACAACTCAGACTAAATCATCCAAGGAACTACAAGGGGATGAAGCATAATAAATCATTCAGATTATCAAACACACACACACGCTGTATGTGTCCAAAATTTGAACATTGTTCCTTTCCAGATTATGAGAAAGGACTGCATTGCACTTAAAACCCAAACCCAGAAAACACATAAAGCCATTCTCCCATGAATTCACTAACTGCCTATGCAAAAGCCCTAAACCCTTACCGAAATCAACTAACTCTACATGAAGATCATTATCAATTACACAATGGTCGTTTAAGCAATAAATAATCAACAAATCATGCATAAACCCTAAATTCTACACAACAAATAAATACGAACTTACTGAAATAATAGCAAAAAACGTCATTCAATTCATAAAATTGGACTCAATTGAACAAAAGAATTCCAGAAATCTGGCTCACCTTCGATAACTCATTGAATATCGAATGCGAGACCGATCCGGTGAATCACTCTAAACAAATAGCTGCCGAAGATCTTTAAATTTGATCTGAAATTTGTATTAGGAAGATGGGAATTTCAAGTGAATTCAATGAATTTCGCATTGGTGCAAGTTGAGATTTTCTTTGAAAATGCGTGCAGATCTGTAAATATGGATTAAACAATTTGGAGGCTGATCATTAATGGAATTAGTTTTTACATTTATTACCTGCTTCCCCATGAGAAAGACATCTTTATAATTTTACCCCTTCTCTTTATCCACTTTAAAAATTAGAATTTTGAGATTTATAATTCATTTTGTAAACATTCTCAGCTTATTGTATTGTTAATAAATTTTAAAAAAATATTTTAAAACTTTGAGGAAAGTGAAAAAATGTATGAACTAGTTGTCTACCAGTCAGTTTTTCATATCTTTTGAAAAAAAATTTTGATGTATTATTTTGGAGGGGTAAATGGATCTTGAGTTTGCGGTATAACTAATGAAATTGGCATTTGTTAGGCAGCACAAGACTTTCGAGATTGCCATATAATCAATGAAATTCGAATTTCTGACTTAAGTAATAAAATAAATTTGTAACCTCCAACGACACTACTTAGCTCTTGACATGAGTTATCAAGAATATGGGCTCGAGAAATGTATATATTTCCTCCGTCCCAAAATTATTGTCCGGTTTGGATTTTAAGTTTTAGTACAAATTGAACTAAAGTTGAAAATTCAAATCGGACAATAATTTTAAAACAAAAAAAGTATTTCTTAATTGTGTTTATTAGGGGTGAAACGAAAAATCACTCGTTACAAACTCCAAATGAGAATTTGACAGGCATAAATTGGAATATAGTAAATAACACTTTCTTTCCGTTTCATTATAATAGTCTGTTTTGCTTTACTGTTCCAACTCCACATCCTACTATATTAGAAATAATAACTCCCCTTTCAAACACTTCTTATGATTGCCACGTGACATGAAGAAAGTACTAAATTGTCCTTTTGTCTAACCATAACTAAATTACTAAATCCCCCTTTGTACTTTACAGGACACGTTTTTTTTTTTAATTTTTCTTTATACTTCATTCAATTAGAATGGTTTTCTTTTCTTAATTATGGAGTCTAAATTGAATTGATCAATTAAGTTTTTGTTACAAAGTGTCAATTTTATGTTAAGTGTATACCCTTCGGATGAAGCTTATTACAAAGTTATTAAAAATCTCCAAAACTAAATATTGATTTGGCACGACCAATGGAGAATATCAATAAATCATCTTACTAATGTTTAAACTTATTAGGATGCTTTTATATTTTGTCTAACATTTATTTCAACACATATATTTGATTAAGTCTATTTATATTTAATAAGTAACACTTATAAAATATTTCTAAAGCATACATGGCGAAATATAATTTCTTTTTCTTTTTTTGAAATACAAATATTTCTATGATCACACTTATAAAACATTTCTAAATCCTTCAAACATTTCTAAAATATATCGCTCCAAATACAAAAATTTTTTTTTTTCCAAATATAAACATTTCTAAGATCTACAGATAGACTGGGCCAGGGTCGCGCATTGCGCGACCAGACATCACTAGTCAATATATACTATACTAGGGCAAAAACCAGAGAGAGAAAACTAAAGGCATGGAGCACATGCCACATAAGATTTAATCTTATGTGGCATTTTCTTAATTTCTTAGACTTAAAAATGCACAAAACAAAATAATAAAACCAAAAAAAAAGCAACTAAAATAATTTTTTTAAAAATAAAATAATAAAAACCGAACCCTTATTTTCATGAACCAAATCCTAACACAGGGATTGATTGGAGAGAGTACCAAATCCTAACAAATTTTAGAGAGATCTGCATAAACCTTATCACCAGTGAATTTAAAATGTCATGTAAAAAAAACAAATTCCTGTAAATCCAGAGGAAATCATGTTTAAAGCTGAATTCATTACATATTTTTATAAAAATACAAAATTTATGTAAAAATGTCTAAATGTGTATGCCTTCCCTGTCCATCGGACGAGTCTAACACGTAGTAGTAGACTATTGAAATGACGCGGAATGAGTAATACAATTACCGTACAGAGTTGTGTCAACAAGCAAACAGACTACAACTGATCTACACGGAAACTACAACAATGGAGAAAGAAACAATTCCAACAATCAACAATTTTGAACTATATGCAAGTAAAATCCAACTCTCCGGCATCTTGCAATGTGATCTGTTAATTTTTTTTCCCATTTCCGAAACATATCTTTTCACTGTTCAAAGCTGTGCTAATGTGATATTAACATCTGTAAGAAGTAATTATCATACAAAAGTGGAAAGCAGTGCTATAGCCTCCCACAATCCAAAGAATTCGAGATCGAACCAAACCATAAATTATGCCTGAAATGAAGCTCTTAGTTGCATCTGCCACTCCATACAGTCCTCAAAATCAAAGCTACTCGAGCAATCCAACAAAGCATTTTGTTGGTGCTCGTACCGGCATATGTAGTTCAAGCCAACGAGTAGCTCACCGATCACAGCCTCAGTCTTTTCCTGGTCAGCGAAATACAAAGTTTGGAGTAGAAGTACATTTGTCTTGGTGACAATTTGCTGCTGCTGCTCAACATTACGTTCACTTTGCCACCTGATTGTGTTATGCGCCAGAGGCGCCAGCCATTTCAATATCTGATCGAGCCTTTCTTTCCAGTCATGGGCAAGAGGGGCATCGTATATTGCTAAATCTTTAATATAAGCCTTCAACTTATTCTTGAGGGACTTCCGTAAGCTTGTTGGCAACATCTGATAAAGATCATCCCTAGCTTCCTCCCCAACCAAATGTGGGTACTTGAGCAGTTTCTCAATGACAATAATGACATTTGCATAGTGCAGAGCTAAGGCAGAACCGCCAAGAGTGCAGGGAGGAGTATAAACTCTCAACCTACTCTTGGGGCTGAATTTCGGACCATTTGTCGAACTGCTTTGAAACTGCCTTGGATCTCCACTATAAGGGACTCCATTAATGGACCGACCAAAGTACTCTGATAGTCTTTGTTGATCTCTCTTCCAGCTACTTGCAACACTGCAACTACTGGAAATGTAGCTAGATCGATCAAAAGTCATTCTATCATCATCATCATCAACTTTAGAACTACTCAAACTAAGGCACTCCATAAACAACCTTCCAGGTCCCATTCCACATGCAAAGTTAAAATCCTCAGGACCGAACAAGCCTGTATCATTTTGATGTATCCCAACCTGCGTCCTAACATGACTCCTACCCTTCTTCTCCAATGACTTTCTTTCTATTAGCCCAGATTGATGACTTCCAATGCTCTTGCTTAAAGTTCGCTTTATCGAGTTAGCCCGCATTGGAATGTTACGATCCCCGTTTATCTGCCCTGATTTTGGCCCACATTCTTGCTTCATATGCCGTAAATTTCCACTTAAACCAAACTGAGGACCTGAAATTGCTGAGCTTAAGCAATCACTCTGTAGAACCGGATCCCCAAACACTATACATATCCTTGCATAAATAGTACAGACAGTTCTAGCCAACAATTCTACAACCTTATCATAAGTCTGGTTCCACAGGGAAACATCCTTCAAATGCCTAATATCCTGTTTCTGCCAAATTAGCTTCTGCTCAAAAGCCTTCCTACTTTCTTCATGTTGATTCTGCTGAAACTTCTTTGTGGCAATTTCTAACTGATTTAAGACCTCCAATTCATTATACAGATTAGCAGTAGAACTCACATATCTTTCCATTTTCCTCACCCTACCTTCCATATCCTTCACCAAAAAACCCAACTCCTTCACATCAATTACCCCAGACATAATATCCCCATAGACATGCTCAAAACCCTGCAGTGCAGGAATTGTGCATTTCTTCCCCAACCTAGACACAACACAAGCCACCCCATGCAAATCATCAAGTTTTTCAATTAGAGCCAATTCTAAAAGCCTCATTTCATCATCACACACCAGATTTTTTATCCCATCAGACTTCAAGATCTCATTTTTAAGCTTAGAAATTTCACTGTCAGCTAAAGACTTGTGCAAATGAATAATCTTGGACATCACATTAGCAACTTCAAATGAAAGAATACCTATAACTTTCTTCTCTTGGTTGCCTAATTTCTTCTCAGCAGAGGATGATTTTTTTGGAATATCCAAAACTAAAGAATTCTTCAAACTACCACTTACCTGATTGCCCATCTTTAATATCCAAGGCTCTGCCACCATCTCTACCCTTCCTGCTGCAAAGCCACAATCCTTCTCTTTTAGATCTGACAACCAATACACAACATTGTACAGGGAAAAGGGGCAAAAAAAACCCTCACATCCACACCAGAAAATAGCGTTTTAACAACGAGGGAACCCAAAAAAAAAAACCAACCAGGATAAAAAACAAATCTTTATCAGGAATGCTGAAAAGGTTCATTGATTCTGTGCTGAGGAAAGCAAGAACAATGCACAGAACGGAGAAACAACCATGATTTCAATGGAAGTGGAGTGCATTCTTTGAAGCATGCTGAAGTTGAAATTGTTACATGGCAAGAGAGTGAATGAAAGTGTTGGGGGAGAAAATGGAGGGAAAAAAAGGAAGAAGAAATTGATTGGATTTCAGCAGCAAAGCACCCTTTTTTTTTGCTATAACAATCAATGTGATTCTCTCACAGATGTATGAATTTGTGGGCGTGGGGGTTGAGGATTTTGAGAGGATTGTAATGATGTTTTTTGAAAAAAAAAAAAGGCAAACGAGGAAGTTTGAAGGATATATTGTCCTCACTTCACCATTCGTTTTGTTTCCTTTTTTTAATTTCCTCTTAGTATTCCTTTTATCTTTTTACCTGTTGTGTATTAGGTTTAAGATTCTTTTCATTTATGACTTAAAATGTTGGACTTTTTTGAATTTTCTTTTTGAATTACTCTCCGCTCCACCCTTCCTTTGTCCCAGAATTATTGTCTCAGTTTGATGTTTCACTTTTAATATAATTTGAACTAAAAAAAATCAAAACTGTCCCAAAATAAGTGTCGTTTTAGCAAAATGAAGAAATTCTAAAATAAGTGTCGTTCTCACATTTCAATACACTTTTGTCAAAAGTTTTCAAAATTATCCTCAAAAGAGTTGATCTACTGGTGGACAATTTTATAATGGGGTTGGTTGAGGATATTCAAGTAATTTTATTACCCTATTTAAGAGTTTCTTAAACTATGTGCAAAGTGTGGGATGTCACTTATTTTGGAATGGAGGGAGTATTTTGTTTATAAAGAGATAATTTTTTTGAAACGGAAAATTATTTATTTAATTATTCACCATGTTAGGAGGTTGAGAGGAAAATCATTGAACCAAAATGCAATGTTGTTGTGTGTATTCTGGAATGCAATAAATGAACACATGGTGAACTTTAAATGGTGAACTTGGGAGGTGGCCTATTATGTTTGAACGCCACCATGCCTTTCCATAGGACAAAGAAAAGTGAGAAAGAAAGAAGAGTGTTCTTCGAATTTAGAAATGAAGCTCTCCAAATTGAGGGTTGGCTGTTATTTTCTCATAAAATTAAAAAGGAAATAAAAAGGTTGGTTGTTGTGGATATTTAAAAAGTAGTTCAAATCATTAACCAACAAATTGGAAAGAAGAAATACAACTTGGCAACAAGTTCTTAAGGCAGACCGAGCTCTTAGACAAATTATGAGTAACTCTTTATCAAAAGGGATTTCCCAATTTGCTAATATGCATACTTCTACACCTATTATAATATGTGATTGATATGGCTCGATGATTATGAAGTAAACTTTTTTTAAAGAATAATAATAGATACAAAGAAAAATTGATAAGTAAAAAAAGGAAATGATTTCACTCATTTATTTTAAAATTATCTATACGTGTTTATGTATTTAAGATTAGGACATAAATTAGGATACTGTATTTTTTTAAAAAAAATTTGTCATGGATTAGATTAGATGTATGTGTACATTGTCTATTGAATGTAGCCTAAATTCAAGCACACGGCATGGAATGATGGACCATTATAGAACTGTCGTATGAGTGTTTTATTTTATGAGTGACATTATATGAAGGACAAAAATTATTCTGATTCAACCATCTGTGAGTCTTCCATCGTGTAGGTGGGGAGGTTTAAATTATTCTATGTACTACTACTATTTACCATACTCTTTTATATTTTTCTATTCTTTTCTTTTTAGGGTTGAAAAAACATTCAAATTTCAAATCATTGTTACCTGATTTTGATTCGTTTTCCAAAGTCAAAAAGGAGACACAAAAATGTTTCTATTTGAAGTTGTATGTTATCGGGTAGTGTGGGAATCAGCACTGCAAGTCAAAACTTAAAATACTACTATTTTGTCCTAAAATTATTGTCTAGTTTGAGATTTTATTTTTAATACAATTTAAACTAAAAATGAAAATCCAAACTGGACAATAATTATGAAACGGATGGAGTACTATTTGGATTTTTTGTTCTGTGTATCAATAGTATTTTTTTCTTTTGGCTTTCATTTGGATTTTTCTTATGAAGATTTGTTTTAAATTTTAATAAGAAACTAAAACAAAACTAGGGTTGTAAATTGCAACACGGCCGGAAAACCATGAACATCTACCAGACTACAGCCGACTTACCGGAATTCAATCGGTTAGCGGGTGAAAAAATAATTTGCCGTTTAATTTAAAAATATCATTTATACAATTTATTTCAAACGGCAAATTATCCATTAAATTTATAATGCATGAGTTGATTAGTATCAATCAACCCCGTATTATCCATTATTCATATATGTTATCATGTCGACATTAGCTACATGACATGATTATTAGTACAAAAGTATTTTTCAAGTGATTTTTGTTTTTTTTTTTGAAAAAAATAATTTTGGTTCAACAAAAGGAGTATTTTTTTTACCAGATAAATTGACATTTGGCGAAGTTGTAAATTATAAGAAACCAACAATAATCTCTTGAAGAAATAATGACTAAATTATAGGATGATCATTTTTGTCCAAAGGCGACCATAGTTGGAGTCGGTATCTTTGTGTAACAAAGACAAAAGTTTTTCAGCCAACCAATTCAATTAATCTGAATAAGAAAAGAACAGAAAAGAAAAGAAAAGAAGGAGAGATCCAAGGACAAAAAACAGGACGACAAAAAAGAAACAAACCTCTCCACTAAGGCACCCCCAAGTATTCTTCTACTCCATCTACATGATGTTAGAAACTTTTATTGTGGATTTGGATCAACCAATCAAAAATATAAAGTGAAATGTGAATCTACAAGTACAAAGTCACATGATCTCTAAAGTGTATCTAATCTCACTCAGAATGTGAAAAAAAGAATGTCAAAGGATTACCCAACATATGTTCTAGAAAGAAAAAAAAAGATTAAGAATGAAAAAATTAAGTGTAATTTTAACTTATATAATATTAAATACAACGAACCGGTCACATTATAATTTATTTAATTATTTGTAGGCGAGTACCGTACACAATATATAGTGTTATTTGCTGAGACAGAAGAATTGTAATATTTTTCATTATCTTAATCCGTGAGATGTATTGTAAAGAACTGAAAGAATAAGTTAGTAACCTAAAATATACCTTGGAATGATTTGGTTAAGGGAAATGGATTCCCAAGCCAAAACAGCCAAACTCTACTCTTGAAAAGGGCATGCAACCTACCCGATTCGAACCCTATTACAAGTTGGTGTTATTTGATGGTGCAATTTTTAAAGTCTCCCACTAAAAAAGAGGTGTTTATTACGTTCAAAAAAGGGCTCTTATTATAATTGGAGTTGGAGTACCAATCTCTTTCAGATTAAGTCGCTAAGAAGAGTCCAAATACACCTTAATTTAGTGAAGTCGCATTTATCAACGAGAGAGATGTCCGTTACAATCCGCTCCACTACATTGGCAAAACAATTTGGTTTGGAAGATCCGTGTCAACAAAATTTCAAAGGTTTATTTTGTTATGTTGCAAACTCATACTCCTTATGTCCCAAAATTATTGTTCAGTTTAAAATTTCACTTTTAGTATAATTTGAATTAGAAATGAAAACTCAAACTGGACAATAATTATGGGGACGGAGAGAGTAATTGACTATGAAGAAATTCTCATTATTTTTATGATGAAATTCATAAAAAGAAAACTATCATATTTATTGACGTAATACATCTCGACTCTGATTGGGTAACACTTTAATACTCCCTCCATCCAAAAAGAAAAAAAAAATCCAGATTGAGTTTTGAGTTTTGTATTATTTTTAGTACAAATTTGCAAACTCAATGTGAATTATTTTTTTGGGACGCAGATAATACCATAATAACACGTTTTTTTAGTAATCGTGTAGATAGTGATCTTTCCCTCAACAGAGGTAATATTTGTGACTAATTAAAGCCAATCTTTCCCTGCTTAAACCAAATCCGCTTGCTGGTTTCCCTCCAAATGTAAAAGTTTGCTCGAAATCATATTACTTTTCTGAGAATATTATGGCGGGCTGTTCTTGTTGACCCACCATTATTCTTTTTATGGATCAATTTTCCTTAGCAAAATTTCTCCCATTTTAATTTCCATATCAACATCACATCAATTTGTGGAGGGAAGGTTTGCTTTTTGTTTTTACATGTTTTGTTTTGGTGGCTTTTTTGACCAATTTTGTAAGGCCTAAAAGAAAGAAGGAAACAAAAAGAAAGTCATCAATTTGCTAACCACCATTGAAACAAGAACCAATTAACACGTAAACTGTATATGCAAAGTAATAATCATTTCATGAAAAAATGTGAACTTTTTGACGATTACGTAAAAAATGTGCGAATAATTGCATGGCCCTATAATCTTTTATGGCTTAGCTATAGATCTATGATGTGTGGAGTAGTATGATTTAATCTTGATAAAGATAAACCAGCTGTCAAATTCTCAAAAAGCTAGCTTGTACTTTAGGTTAGAAAAATTGGGTATCACTAAAAGAGCAGATGATTAGCACTAATTTTTAGTACTTAAACTGATTTAAGTAAATTTGTCGTCTTCTTATTGACAAGATGCCAAAAATGTTCGAAATGAAAGCTAAGAAAAATTAAGAAAATATAAGGAAACGAATTTTGCAACTGATATTTAGTTTCATTAGTATTTTAGGTAAGGCAAAACCTTTTTTTTTTCTTTTAAATATAACTAAAATTTTTCGCTTAACAATCAGTCACAAACATCACTTTATGTTAATGAATTTTAAAAAAATTTAGAGCAAATTATTTCACATTAGCTTCCATCATCACACAATGTTGAAGAAAAAGAAAAAGAGAAAAGATATTTGGTTATCTATGGATAGCAAGTAAAGCGAAAGAAGGAATTGACAGTGATACAAAGTAGAAAGAAACAAGAGTATTGAACATTTTGAAAGCCACTATACCTTAGGGTTTGGACCATTTTGGAAAACTGAAAGCTCAAGTTGTCTACGTGCAGTTAATTAGTGCACGTATAACTTGAGAACAAATCAATTGTGATTATTATCGTATTTCTATGAATCAACCGTGTGATATGAATATTAATGATAGAATTGATTACATGATAAAACTGTATCATCGTTTCGGTAATAATGTATTAAACGTGACATAAATAATGATTTAAACATTAAATTTGCCCATGACATTTCAACTTCAAGATTGATCAATACTCATCAGCAGCTGACCTGAATGAGAAAATTGGCTTTCACCTACCAATCTACCATGGTGTTGCTATCTACATATAGTACATACTCCCTCCAGTACTTATTATAAGGCATTTTAACTTTTCATAGGTTTCACCTAATACATGTTTTTAATTGACAAAAAAAATCTTAAAAATATATTTTCATATTCGTTATATTCTCTTGATTGTTATGAAATATTTTTAAGATTTTATCGTCGATTAAAAATGTATACTAAATTAAATTTAGGACAAATTAAAATACCTAATATTAAAGACCGGAGGGAGTACAATTCAACGGGTATAAGGTATTGCATTATGCAATTAATTCAGTTGGTTAACTGATTGAGATGCATGTTAATTATTAACCACCAAAAAAAAAAAAAGGAATTAGATCCCAATTGATAACAAACTTTTGAATTAGTTCTTTCACGTTGATGAAGAGGATGTATTTCATGGCTATTTAAACGTTTGCCATGTTAAATTAATGTAGTTTTTCACAAACTATATTCCTAGTTCAAGAATTGACCGATTTGTACCATTACCTTCATCATACCATCTAAAAAGAACCTCAAAGCCCAAAGGACTAGATAGTAAATTGAATACTTAGTTCAAAAAATTGGTTAGAAACTTATTTGAATTTCATCAAAATGAATAGTAAATATTTGAGTATTGAACTCATTATTATTTGGATATTTCATCTTTTCCTAAATGATTGACCTAAATTAGAAGTAAGCCATGTAGTTGAGTTACAACTGTAGCTTGATCCTCAAATTGTCGATGTGGATCCTTCGGTTTCAATAAGTCACTTTATTGGACCGCATAAATTTGTAACTAAATAAAATAATAAATGATTAAAATTGGATGAAGCAAGATTATCACTATCCATCCCTTAATTATTTTTCCCCCCTTGCGGGAAACCTCTGGCACTTAGATTGAAAGTTAAGAGCTTCGAAAGCCCAATTTGCAGGTGTTTTGGGCCTCAAAACACACAATGATGTAGACTAAGAGCTCAAGACCTGCTTGGGCCTTAGTAGATCCATCATTTATCTTTGATTTTTCTTTGATGCACTGTGAAAATGTGAAGTATAATCACACGAATTATTGCATAAAGAGCTTCGAAAGCCCAATTATTGCAACATTTCCATCCTTGCCTTCCTTAGGCATAAAGAACTGGGATTGATACTCTTCAATATATGGTATCTCTGTAGCCACCCTCCTCTGTTTCAGCCACATGATGAGTATTAGTTTGGTGATCATGGATGAAGACTTGAGGAAGTTTTGCGATTCCAGAAACGAAAAGGCCCTCTACGTCGGCTATTGTATCATCAAATGCTTTCAGCTTGGTTTTTGGTATCATAATCAATCGAGTTTAGTACCTCCAAAACTTCCCAACAACCAGTTACATTTGTCAACCATTCTGTTCATGAGCTTTTCTTAAGACTTTCAAATTGAGTTCAATGATTTGCGATTAATCATTATCAAAGAGGGACCAGTTAATGTTGACAGAAAAGGACTATTAACACAACTAAGAAGATTAAATATATGGTGACTTTACACCTCTTGACATTTTTTTAACAAAAAAAGATATCAGAAACTCTGTAACACTCAAGTTTGTACCGAGTATTGATAAACCGCATTGTTTCAGAGCTTGAAATGTGCTAATGCAGCATTTCCATCCATGCTTTCCTTCAAGAACTGGGCAGTGTATTCTTCAATGGTAGTACCTCTGTAAACTGCAGGATTTTCTTCAGACAACAACTCCTTGATTGGTCCATAAGGTCTTGTCACAACACCCCCACCATATCTTGGTCTGAAAAAACTTGCCACCGAAATTCTAGGGCCAATTTTATTTGCAAGTACTCTGTGATGAACACTTTTGAATCTATCATTTGTCACAATCTGCATAACACAGAGATGAACAAAACATAATTCAACAACTTTTCTCTCTCTTTTTTTCAATTTTTTATTTTTTATCCCGAAACTTACAGCTTCAAACAAAAAACACTGTCGATACCAGTAGATTATACGTACTTGAAGCATGTCACCCATGTTAACAACCAGGGCACCAGGCAAAGGAGGGACATCAACCCACTGATTATTATTGTGCAATACTTGAAGACCACCAATTTGGTCTTGAAGAACTATAGTGAGGAAAGTGTTGTCGGTATGGTCAGCGGTACCAAAAGTCAACTCTGGTTCAGGACAAGGTGGATAATAATGTCCCTTCATCACAAGACCTTCACCACAATCCAAACCTTGCAAGTAAGTAGGATCCAATCCTAAAGCTTCTGAGATCAATCTTAACAGATCAAGTCCCAATTCCATTACATATTTTCCATAATCAACAGCTGCGTTCCTGCAAAAAACACGTACATTTTAAACGTTTTTAATACAGTTTTTTACATTCTAAAATAAAAAATACATATCATGTATACCTGCAAATATTGGGAATTTCTTCAGGCTGTGGAGGAGAAGGAGCCATATTGAAAGTGATGGTATCTTTCCATACGGCTGATTTCGAGAAGTAGAGATCAATATTACTATGATACAAAACCTTCCTCGACATATTCCGGCTATAGTATTCGCTTTTCGTCTCAGGATCAAGCTCGTGAAACAAGCGAATCCCGCGAATCATATCCTCCATAACACTTTCAGGGATTCCATGATTCACAACCTGGAAAAATCCCCAGTTTTCGCAACTATCGCGAACTTGGTTAACGATTTCAGGCCGATTAATCAGACTCATCTTCAAATCAATTGTTGGAACCCGGCAGTAGTTGACCTCCTGGCTGTCTACTTTGACTGATTCAGCTATACCACGACTATTTTGGTGATCATGGACGAAGATTCGAGGAAGTTTCGTGATCCCGGAATCGGGAAGTCCCTTTACGCCGGCTTTTGTATCATCAAATGCTTTCAGTTTGCTCCGGCCATCATAATCAGGCGAGTTTAGAACCTCCAAAATTTCCAAACTACGACTAAGTTTCTCTGCCATTCTGATCATGAGCTAGCTAGCTTTTCCTAGTCTTATATAAAATTTTGAGTTGATCTTATGTAAAAATCTTTAGCTATGATTCTATGAAGAAAATTATGCAAATCATCAAACAATGATTACTCTTGACAGGTTATAAATTATTAACACAGAATAAATGTTTGGGGACTCTGCACCTAATCTTAAATTTTATTACAATGTTTGGTGAAAATGAATTGTAATTGCATAAACGTTTAGAGTCTTTAGGCAAATCACCAAATCCATACTAATCCTGAGGTCGTCATATTCCGGTAAATATAGATTTTTCTTAGCTGCCTATGATAAGAAATGACATTTTGTCTGGTGTAATATAAGATACCACAATCTTTGGTAATGAAGTAATGACTATATATATATATAGTATACAGTAATACTCTCCACGGTTCTTCTTATGAGGTTTAAATTAAATTTATTTTAAATCGTGTCTCATAAATAGGATTAAAGGGAGTAAATGAGATATGTCCTCCGAAATGACCGTCTAATTTAGATTTTTATTTGTCGTATAAATAGGACAATAATTTTGAGACACAATAAATATTTTTTATTAGAAAAAGGTGACCCCAGTTGTAAATGTGAGTCGGTATTCTTGTAACATGCAAGGACCAAACTTTTTTTCAACAAGTCACCAAATCATACAATGAAGATATATATAGATCATCGATTTGTATTGTATGTATGTTTTATTTGCGGATTCGGGTATCAACCATGAGGTAATAAGTACAAATGAACAGGGGAAAACAGCACACATATAAAGTTGATTGGGTGTTGATTTATTGAAAATTGGGTGTTGATTAGATTCACTCACTACTTCACCAAAAATGAAATATTTTGAAGGGGTAGTAGGTGCTTAACCTAATCTCATAACCCAAGATTCGAAATACTCATCAATTTGCACCTCAATTGTTTTGGCTATACCAATGAACAGAGTACCTCGTGAATTGACTCGCACCAATATAATTCGAACAGATATCTATTTTTTATTTATTTATTATTGTTGATACAACTTTTAATTCTCCTTTCATCTCATACTAATAGTTTACTTCGTTCACCTCTTTTATTATGAAAAAATTATAATCTCTCTGTACTAAAAGTGAAATTCTAAACTACTCCCTCCATTCACAAATAGATGTTGCTGGAGAGATTTCACAAAGTTTAAGGAGGCAATAATTATCTTGTTAAAATACTATAATACCCTCATTTATTCTTAATTTAATTGTAGTCCTAATAAAATTCACTTCTAATACAATTCTACATTAAACATCACAACAATTTCCAATGTAAGGGTGATATTAGAAAAAATTGACAAAATATGCCTCGATTTGTGAGAACGACATCTATTTTGGAATATTTGAGTTTTCCTCCAACGACATCTATTTGTGAATGGAGGGAGTAGATAATAAGTTCAGGCATAGAGAGTACTGTAAAGCATAAGAGGAGAGAATAATATACTGATTCAAAATTAGAATTAAAACGGAAACAAAAACGAAAACACCATGTGAAAATACATTCTGTTTCACAGCTTGAAATGTGCCAATGCAGCGCTTCCATCCATACTTTCCTTCAAGAACTGGGCTGTGTATTCTGCAATCGTGGTGTCTCTATACACCGCTGGATTTGCTTCAGACAACAAATCCTTGATTGGCCCATAAGATCTCGGCTCAAAACCACCCCCATATCGTGGCCTAAAAAAACTTGCAACTGAGATTCTGGGGCCAATTTTATTTGCAAGTACTCTGTGATGAACACTTTTGAACTTATCATTTGTCACAATCTGCATTATTGAAGGTGAACAAACATCAATGACATACACAAAGGCATTTAATAAAATCAAGATTTTTATGAAAGCAAACGCAATTGCAATCGCATGTCCCTTAGTTTTGTCTTTTAAGCAACTTCATGATTTGTCTTACAAACTCTGTTAAAACAAAAAGATAAACAAATACTCCCGCCGTCCTATAATTATTGTCCAGTTTGGGTTTTCACTTTTAGTATAATTTGAACTAAAAATGAAAACTCAAATAGGACAATAATTATGGGACGGAGGGAGTATTATACTGTAGACTTGTACTCACACTGTCTCAAAAAAATAGTTTATATATTAAGTTCGAAAATTCAATATGGACTATATTTCTTTTTAGGACAGAGATAGTAATATACAAACCTGAAGCATATCTCCCAAGTTGATGACTAGAGCTCCGGGCAACGGAGGGACATCAATCCATTGACTATTATGCAACACTTGAAGACCACCAATTTGATCTTGGAGGAGTATGGTGAGGAAAGTATTATCCGTATGGTCAGCGGTACCAAAAGTCAACTCTGGTTCAGGACAAGGTGGATAATAGTGTCCCTTCATTACATGACCTTCACCACATTCTAAATCTTGCAAGTAGCGAGGATTCAGTCCTAAAGCCTCTGAGATCAACCTTAACAGGTCAACAGCCAATTCCATCACACATTTTCCGTACTCAATCAAAGCATTCCTGCCAAATTTTACGATTTTTAGCATTTTCAATACAACTTATTACATTTCCAGTGCACTAACAACATATCCTTGAAAATCGCGCATACCTGCAAATGATGGGAATTTCTTCAGGCTGTGGTGGAGAAGGCTCCATGTTGAAAGTAATCGTGTCTTTCCAGACAGCTGCTTTCGAATAGTAAAGATCAATATTACTATGATACAAAACCTTCCTCGCCACATCCCGACTGTATAATTCGCTTTTCGCCACATGATCTTGCTCATGAAACAATCGTATCCCATGTAACATGTCCTCAAGAACGCTGGTAGGAATTCCATGATTAATGACTTGGAAAAATCCCCAGTTTTCGCAAGCTTCTCGAACTTGATTCACAATATCAGAATGGTTGATATGATCATTCGTCGCATCCATCATCAAATCAATGGCCGGAACCTTCTCCTTCCCGTTGACTTGTTTGACCAGATTATGATCAGCATTTTGGTGATCATGATGGACAAAGATTGGAGGAATTTTCTTGATCCCGGAATCGAAAAGTCCCTTAACACCGGCTTTTGTTTCGTCGAAGGCTTTCAGATGGCTTTGGCGATCGAAATTGTCGGGCATGATTTTGACAACAACGCTAGCTTTGAATGATTTGAATCTGAGTTTAGAAGATAAGAAGTACTGTTCTTGATAAGAATCTTTATGGTTTCTCATGAAAGTGAAAGAAGAATGCAAATTAATGAGTTTGGACATGGTCAACGAAGATGGACTAAACTATTGAATGAGAGAGTTAAAAATGCTTTCTACTCCTGGGGAATTTTACGGTTTGCCTTATTGACACACATTTATTATAACAATACGGATGTCTTTTATCATCAAGGAGTAAATATGTGAAACAGGTGTATCTCCGTCTTAATCATAAGATGTCTGCAAATAAGGGTAATCTTTTTAATATTAGGATGGAGAGACCATGGTTCTTTTTTATTATTTAATTTATTTGTCTGATTTTGCTATCAAGATTTGGTGGAGACCTTATTTGGTTGACCTTTGATGATTGGTTGTTTGTTGGACTAAAAATCAGGTAGTATTACCAGTTTCATTTTATTTTTTCTTAAAATAAAATTTTTAGTTGTTTTCTTAAACTTAATGTTTCAATTCCCATTTTCAAACGAACTCAAGCAATCATTGAACTTTAATTTGATGATCTCTTTAATCTTGGTTGAACTGATAACTGAAATTACGTACAAAAAATATATATATATATATATATATATTGTAATATCAATTATGAGATTGAGACTCCAAGTTAATGAGACTCTAAGTAATTAATGAATAATGAAACAATTGATATGTGTTTTTTGGCATGGATTCCATCCCTAAACATTCAAACGGTTCAATAATAGCACAAAAGCTTGCAAAACATGGTTGGGTAATTTTGTTTGGAGACTGCTTGGAGAATTTGGAATTGGCATAATGGTTTTGTGTTTGTGGAAGATGATTTGCATATTGATGAGTCATAAATTAACCCTAGGTCTATTGGGTCTAGGATTAAGTTACTTGAGGATTAAGCCACCGCCTAAACCTATTTCGCTAGGGTTTCAGAAATCAGGTAACACCACCTCGTAGTGCCTTTCTCATAATTCATATCTTCTACTTATCTTCTATCTATCTTCTACCTATCTTCTACACCTTCTACACACGGTACATATCCGCCTCTCTCTCTATTATCTCTATTCCCTTATTGACTTAAGTATCGGAGAGTCTACCCTCGGGAGACACCCGAGACTCTGTCTTGCAGGTTTTAGGCCGTTCACCGCCGCCTATGTCATCATCGCCGCCCGTCCTAAGCACCGTACAAATCTATGCTTCGTCAAGTGGCACGTCCAGTGGGACCGATTTGTTTGGTCCTTACAACCAAATAAATTTCTTTGCGAAGCACGAGATTTTTGGTGTCTTTGAACAGTCACGGTGACCACACCAAAAAATATCTTTGTTTGGCCAAGAAGATGTCAGTCGACAAGTAGCACAAAGAAGTTTTCTGTTGCACAAAGAATTCGAGGACTCGCACTTGCTCCACAACTGATCGAGAAGAACAGTCCCTGGAGTTCAAAATCCGCCAAAAGGGGCAGAATATTCTGCCGAGAACAATTCCTCAATTTGAGAATTGCCACTTAATCCATAATACTTTTAATTATTTGGTCCCTAAAGATTTTAAAATTTTGCAGATTGACAAGGGGCAATTTCGAAGATTGGAGTTTCGAGAGATACATCTCCTCGAAGAGGCAACCATCCCTCGAGTACCATACTAATACTCAAAGTGTTCGAGAAGATGTGTCTCGACTTTTATCTACTCAATTACTACCTTATCGAAATCGAGGTAACACTTTCTTGAATAATCAATTTATTACGAGATCGAGGTACTTCTAAAACCTTTACATGCTTTAATATCTAATATCATTATCATATTACTATCATATCACGATATCTTTTTCAGCACGATCAAAGAAATATTTCGAGGAACCAACCCTTTAGGGAAAATTCCCATCACCCTGTAATGAGAAAAATCACCTCGGGGTTGTCTTCAACGAGGAAAACGTACTCGGGGCACAAACTGGAAAAAAACCCTAGGGACAAGGAACTTGAGAGATCATCCTAACATCCTCTGCTTGAACGGATATTCCTTAGGAGTATCTTATTACTAAATGTCATTATTATCTTGTATTGCATCTCAATGATCTACAAACTCGCGATCCACCGCGCAAATAAGGACACTCGCGGTCCACCGCGCGAACAGGGATACTCGCGGTCCTCCGCACAACCAAGGAACTTTCTAACACAAAGACCTTCTCGAGGCATTCTATCTCTCTTTATCTTATATAGGTGACACCCGAGAACGAAAGAGTTCGAGAACTGGGGCAATACTACGAAACTCGAGGAAACATCAACACTCGTAGCAACCCATATTTCTCTCATCAAGTCTCGAGAATATGGCTTGTTAGGGGCACTTGACGAGTCATAAATTAACCCTAGGCCTATTGGGCCTAGGATTAGGTTACTTGGGGATTAAGCCACCGCCTAAACCTATTCTGCTAGGGTTTCAGGAATCAGGTAACACCACCTCTATATAAAGAGGTGGTGCCTCTCTCATAATTCATATCTTCTACTTATCTTCTATCTATCTTCTACCTATCTTCTACACCTTCTACACACGATACACATCTCTCTCTCTCTCTCTCTATTATCTCTATTCCCTTATTGACTTAAGTATCGGAGAGTCTACCCTCGGGAGACACCCGAGGCTCTGTCTTGCAGGTTTTAGGCCGTTCGCCGCCGCCTAGGTCATCATCGCCGCCCGTCCTAAGTACCGTACAATTCCATGCTTCGTCACATATATACAATCGGAAGGTGAAAGCAATAAGAATTAAAGTTGCCGAGGTTTGTGAATCACTGAAAAGTGCAAACAGACGGAGGAGCAGAGATTGGGGAGATTTTTGCGTTGGAAACGACCTCAGACGGGCTGCCTAAAGATGAATTCTGATGGGTTCTCGACACAAATATACAGCCGAGTGAGTAACGTTGATGTCCATAGAAAATGTAATTTCCTTGCGAAATGTGACAAATATCCATAAAGAATATAATTTCCTTAATAGAGAATGATAGTGAATATAACTAATGTCCATACCAAATTTAATTAGTTTAGTAGAGAATAGGTACGTAGTGACTGTAATTAATAATGTCTATACGAAATGTAAATTTCATAACTCTACAAAAAATGGGTGGTGGTGTAACTCTACAAAATGTAATTTCCTTATTAGAGAATGGTTAGTGACGGTAACTATTGTTCATCCGAAATGTGATTTCCGTAGTAGAGAATGCGTAGTGAGTATACGTGTGTAACTAATCATTATATATATTAAAGGAAAGAAAGATAATCGACACGTGTCGCTCATTGAGACCATCAAGTCTCAATTAACACGTGTTATTTGCTAATTGGTTGATCATTAATCAGTTAAAGTTTTTTGTAAATAGTTAATAAATTATTTACTACTCCCTCCGTCCCACAAAAATAATCCAATTTAATAAAAAATCTTGTTCTAACAAAATAGTCCAGTTTAACAAAAGTCAAAATTCATTGAATTGAAATGACTTAAATATCCAAAAGAGTAGTGGTATGAAAAGCAAGGTCCACTTACTTTGATTTTCATTTTTTTTAGTTTTCTCTTATTTTTTCAAATGATTATATCTTTTAATACATGAATAATTAAAAATATGTTATATATCAAATTAATCTACGTAACGAGATCTTTCTATCAAGATCCATTGTCAATATTTTTTGAGATAAAAATTTTGATCAAATTTAAGTTGTAAAATAAATGAATATGTAGTTAACTTTTATAGAAATAACTAGAAGGGGCATTAGTGGAAGTTAGGGGAATGAAATGAGTTATACATTTGGTGTGTTGACCAAATTAAAAAATTTGTACAGTTTTAAACTGGACTATATTTGTGGGACGGAGGGAGTATATAAGATTTTTACAGATATTACAAATTCCTGATTGTGAGCTTGAAAATGAATATTTTTGAAAATTGCTGAGAAACTCCCGACTTCAAAAGTTCTTTCATTTACGAGTTTAAACTTTCAACCCATTGTCATTGGCCCTTAAAGTTCCATTTGTGTGCTATTTAGTTTTCAAGTTTATCGATTTTACATTTTCAAGGACGATTAATTGTGTCTCATATTTTATTAGAACTACATCTAATCCCCAAAGTTCACTTGCCTATAAAAATAGGCCATATGCATCTAGACATAATTTATGCATTTTTTAAATATATTTGTTAAACCAAACATAACATTAGTTAGCGTTGATAATTTTTATTATACAACTTTTGAAAATCTTTATTGTAGTATTTTTTACCAGATCTTACAAATATACCTCTCATAAATACTATCAATACCTCTCATTTTGATCTAAAACTGATTAATCAAAAAAATATTACAGTTTTAAGAAATATTACTAATTACATTTTTTTAAGAGAATAAGGACGATATATTTGTAACTATATTATCTGATCCATTTTTTTGAAATATAAATTTTCAACTTTGATAAAGTCGCGCAAAGCGCGAGACACACACTAATGTCCTTACAAAATACAATTTTGCAATTGACTTTTTGGTTTCGTTAACGGCGGCGAATCCGATAAGTCTTATTCTTTTGCATTGGCCGTCTCAAAAAAGACTAGATGACTGAACAAAGATATTGTAAAGGTGTCGCATCTTCGATATATTGTTGTCTAGTTGGCTTTGAATATACATCTTTTCTATAAAAAAAAATAAAAAAAAATCCCACAATATCTCATACCAATTTCCTTATTAAGTATTGCATGTGTATGTCGAATTTGTGAATTTCAATATTCCTTTGCGTTAAGAATCATTGTTACTACTACTACTACTACTACTATTATTGTTATTATTATTATTATTATTATTATATTGTGGGGGCTTATTGACTATGTACGACGAACATGAAGGAGACCATACCCTACCTGATGAAGTATAAGGATTGATGACAACTTTTCTGTCTACTAACTCCCAAATCATTCCTTTTTTTATTATCAAAAAACAGTTTAATGTATACGGTGATGTCATTATTGTATGTTTTCATTGTTAAAAAACTCAGTGAGTTACCGAGCTAGCTAGATGTTATCTTTTATTAAAAAAAGTAAATATTAAGAAAACATCTCTTTGAGAATTTCTTTTTTTCATTTAGTCTTCTTCTCTTCTTCCCCCTTCTTTTCCGCTAATGCCTCATCTCATTCCCACTATCTATCAC